CTTTGTCCCAAAAATATGGATCAGACTTCCCCCATGAGTTGGGATGGGGGAAGTGAGATTATATCCAGAGGATTGGGGATTGTATATGGTTCACGGTTTATAGTCTCTGTAAAATGGGAGTATTCCAGGAAACGGGTTCTGCAAGGCAGGACAGGCATCACAGATAAGAATGGAGTTTGATAAGAATGGAGTTTATCGGCAAGCAAGAGTATATGTCATAAGGCAGGTTATTGGCACAGATTCAAATAGCTAGCCCCCCAAATGTCTAATTTCCCCTTCACTCCCACAGAACTTATTGTTGTCCACACAAAGACAGAGTCTTGGTACTAAGATGGAATTTCAGATATTATTTGAACATTCAACCTGCCATCAATTTTCTCTATCACTTCTATTTTTAAAAAAAACATATTAGCCGAACTTTGCTGCATTGGGATAGTAATGGAAACACAGTAGAGGCATTCTGTTATTCCCTTTACAGTTATTTGTTGGATACTTATGATAAGAAATGCACCTTGCCAAATAATCAGAAGGAGCACTACATAAAAATAAAGTGATAATTAATGTAAGAAGTAATATATGCCAGATAATTAAATGTTTTTTCCAAGAATATATTTATTCAACATAATGTAAGCTATGTAGCTTATAAAAAGAAATGGGAGACATGAGGGCATTAGTTTAACAACTGATTTCTCAGTGGAATGCAAGATATTTAATACTATAACTGTGGTATAAACTAAGATGACTTTAATACATTTTATGAAAAACTGGGTTGTTAACTAGAGAAATGCACAGCAATTGAAGGGAATATTGCTGAAATACTAATTAACAGAAAAGGAATGATTAAATCTATTGGTATAATACTAGTATAAGTAGTATCTAAAACATAAAATAATTCATTTCAAATACTCTTGGGGAAAACTCAAAATTATATTTTAAGGTGGCAATCCTTCTGGTTTACTGTTTCTGTTTTTCATCTGGTGTCTCTTTACTTGGAGAGAAAAAAATAATTTGATATCTCCAGTAAAATTCTTTCCAAAAACTAGAAAAATACATAAAATGTGTTTTTTTTCTTTTTTTCTCTCAACTCTTAGTTCCAGGGTCAGATTTTTCTTTCCAGAACGTTATGCAAATAATTTCCTTTACAGAAGGGAGATTTCCTGTTTGGATGTTGTTTCCAAGACCCCTACACATGAATGCTCCAGAGTTTATTAGTTTAAGAAATAATGAAATAATCAAGCATGTTTCCTTAAAAGAAGTGCTACCGACTGGATAGACTTCAGGAGGGTGGTTTGTATTAAAGCTCTTTGCTTCTTAGAGAATGTTATCATTTAATATCTTCCACCTCCAATATACTGTGCTCCTGACGTCCAGAAATACCTAATGTAACTGGCGCTTCCTGTTTTCCCTGTTCTGGGAAATGTGAGGGACTGACTGGAAGAGAGAGCCGGAGGGAGGGGCTGCTGGCCCAAAGCACAGCCTGTGTCAGCTCAAGTGTAGGCACCAGATCTCCAAGTTCCTAGAAAAATAGTCAGGAAGTATTTAGACATATTAAGTAAAAAAGACCTGATTATAATAATGATGATGATTTTGATGTTTGTAATTGGCAAACACTTAAGTAGTAAAGACATGCCAGCTGGCAAACCCAGCCTTAAGCAGCAAAGATCTATGCACTCATTTCATTTCTTACTGACTTGGGGAGGAGAGTGGTAGTAAGGTGGGCAAAGACTCCACCTAAGAAGACTTTTTCTCTTGCTTGCATATTTCCACCCCAAGCTTTCTACTCAGAACTTTATGGATTTAAAAGCAATTAAAATATCTTTGGTTTTGATGTTTGTTTCTCAAAATTCTGTTTTGAAATACATTTTCTGCACCTCAGCATTCATTTGATAAACTGAAGTTGTAAAAACAGTCCCCTCCCAAAATTAGTAAAATAAAGCGATTAAAGCAGCAAAATAAAGTGAGTAAAAAGCAACATCTAAACTGGTTTTGGACCTTTTTAGTTTAAATAAATAGAATAAAAATTAAATAAAATATGAAGAAACTGGAAAAAAAATGCTGCAAAGGTAAGAAGGAAAGATCTTTTACACCCTACATAAATTAAGTGATTAAATTGCTATTTGAGTGAATGTTAGCATGTCTTCGCCTCGATGTCTAACATATACAAGGTTTTCAACAAATAATTGGTAAACAAAAAGATTATAAAATAATGACCAAATATTCCAAGAATTAATAAAATTGACCATAAAGAGTGCATTGAGCTTTTTGGAGGTCCATATTGCCTTTCACTAACTCAGTGGGAAAACAGCTTGAACAAAAGAAGTTAAAAAACAAACAATGGAGTCATCATAGGGATGACAATAAAGAACAAACTTGGACACTTATTGCTCATTGACTTTAATTTACCTTTGCTTGAAGTCCTTTATTCATAAACTAAAATGATACTTACCTTTGGCTTTGCTGGATAGACTGGGAGAACATATTCTGAGGTAAAAGATGATTCTGATCCTTGGCAAGAGCTGATTAGGTAGAATCTAAGATAATAGATGTGAGGGAAAGAAGTTAAAGAGATTCCAAGGTTGATAATAGCCCAAGGATCTCAAAAGTGGCCCAAACTGTTTTAAGGAACAGAATTGTTTAGGACCTAGCACTGATTATTTTTATTTGTAGACATAGTTGCTATGGGTAATAGAAGCATTACCTTGTGTTTTTATACACATGAATAGATTAGGGGAGATGAAGGAGAAAATCTGGGAACAATGATTGGTCATATAAAACTCCATCTTTTGATATATCTGAGTATAGTGGAAAGGTAGCATTTTCGAAGCCCTCAAAGAGCCCTAAAAGTCCAGAACTCAGAAGAGGAAGGAGGAAATAGATCTAGTAAAATACCCTTTGCCCCACTTAAATGCTAAAGAGCAACACTCTAAAGACAATGATGAACCATCAGATTCACGTCATCTAAATTCCTGAAATTAGATTAGGATTATCAAATATTAATACAAAAATAGACATACACTTGCAGGCATATAGTATAAATGACATGGCTAATCTTCTCTTAGCCATACCATAAATAATGGATGATACTCAAAGAAAAAAAGAAAGATCTTAAATCAGAGAAAATAAATTATCTTCAAAGTAATCTCAAAGAAGTAATATTAAGGTTCACAGATGACTTCTTCAAAGAAAGAGTGGGGTGCAGAATTTAAAGAACCATAACTTGCAAAAAACTGAAGGAAAATTTTCAACTTAGAATTCTACCCCCAGCTAAAATAGCTTTCAAAAATAAGAAGGGTAGGTGTAAGGGAGAGAGATAAACCAAAGGACTTGTATGCATGCATATAAACCTAATCAATGGACACAGACAACAAGATGGTGAGGGCATGAGCGTGTGTATGTGGGGGGGGGGCGGGGGCTGGGACACATAGGTATGGTAATGGGGGAATAAGGAAGCATATGTAACACCTTAATTTAAAAAAATTAAAAAATAAAATAAAGGTGAATTAAAGATATTTGAAACAACCAAAACCGAGAGACTGTGTCACCCAACAGAACTATTTCATGCTAAAGAAAATATCAAAATGTGTTCTAAGCAGTGCGGGAAAATTCTAAATAGAAGCAAAGTTCAAAAATGTAGGAAGAAATGAAAAGAAGCAAAATGTAAATATATGCATGAACGTAAATGTATGTTGACTATATAACAATGATGATAATGTCTTATGAGATTTAAAATTAAAACACAACTGGAGTGGAATTAAAGAGATAAATTGTGCTAAAATGTTCTAATTGTCCAATAAGAGGGTAAAATTTTCAATTAATATTAGGTTAGGGGAAAGTAAAGAATGCATATTGTAGAATGCAAGCTATTAATCCCTAATAAATAATTAAGTCTGTGTAATTTCCAAATCTATAAAGGGAAAGAAGGAATAATACAAAGCACTCAACCAATTCAAAATAAGCCAGAAATGAATCAAATGAACTTAGAACTGGGAGAGCCAATGGAAAATGAATATTTAATTAAATATAGTAATTACATCACAAAAATAATTCAATTAAATACAGGCTGGATTTTAAAATATAAGTGTTTTTTTTTTAGAAGGGATACATTATTTTTAAACAATGACACAGTAATATTAGTAAAATATAAAGAAGATAGAAAATATATCATGCAAACATTTCCAAAATAAAGGTGGAATAAGTATATTAATATTAGGCAAAGTAGTCATTGAGACAAGCATCCTTAGAGATAAAGAATGAGCTTCATAATGATAAAGTTTCAACTTATCCAGAAAATTTAAGAATTCTAAATTTGCATTAATCTAATGTATCACCTGAGAATATACAGACAAAATAACTGGCAGAATTGTAAGGAAAATAGTTAAATCTACAGTCAAAGATGATTTTAACATTCTTCTCTGATAGAATAAACTGGTTTTAAAAAATCAATAAGATTAGACATAACTATACAATTCACCATGTGACCACAGGTGCATATACATGTACACCTAAAAATTGTAGAATATACACAATTTTAAGGACATATATAATATATAGAGACATAAATGTAAATCTTAAGCTAGAAATTAATAACAAATAAGTAACCAGAAAATCTTACTTTCAAATTACAAATAACCAATAGTTTAAAGAAATAAGAACAGAAATTTGAAAACATATTGAACTGAATGATAAGATAATCTATATGTAACATTTATGGATGCCTTCTAAGGGAGCTGCCCTCGTCCTGAAAGCATTTCTGCTCTTCCTCAGATGACATATGGGCCTGTGATTCCCCTGTGATGACACTTGCTACCTTCTATGGGACATGTTTGTTCACTGTGTATCCCACAGGACAGGATGTTCTTCAAGGGCAAGGAATATTTCCTATTTATCTTTCTGGTTTTGGAACTGTGTCAGTGTCTGTCACGTGGTAGATATTCCAGAAACATTTGTCAATGAATGAATAAAGACAGAACAGTGACAATTATTGTTTCTGTGTTATACAGGTGGATAATGAACAACTGATTTTAGGGAGTGAAGATGTTGAAAGCATTGACGACACCAGATTAAGCCGTTTCATTGAGATCAACAGTCTCCATTTTGTGACAGAGTACAACCCTGTGGTAAACAATAGTCCTAAGGTCCCTGTGTGTGGGGGGGGCTTATGGGGGGGTGTGTAAAAAGGGGCGTGGACTTGTCTTCATAGCAGAGATATTTTCTTTCAGGAGTTCTGTCCTTTGACCAGTAATAGCTGCAATTCATTGAACACCTAGTTGTTCATATTGTCATCCTTACTACACCTTTCAGATTGAGAGCCTTTTCAGGAAAGTAGCAGAGAAGTTAAATGACCTATCACATGATTAGGAAGGAAGAGAGTCACAATGCAAAGTTAAGATGACTGATTCAAAAATCTCTGAGTTTTGCCACCTGAGAGTGTTCCATGAAAGCAACTCTGATCCCAGCAACACTCTAGACCACACTCCCCAAACAAGATTGCAATCTGTGCTGAAGGTCTATTTTTTCCTCTACCGCATCAGGAACCAATACCTTTGTAAAATGTAATAAAATCAATTAATAGGCAAAAAAAAAAACTTTTAAAATAAAGTCTATTGGTCACATATTTGGATGCCACAGTTATGTAAAATTTCTATAAAAATTTTTATGCACTTCTTCCCATTTTTTGTGCCTTCATCCTTGTGGGCCAGTAATTAACAGTTCCAGGTCTGGCACCACCTGCATGGACCCAGAACCTCATGGTGGCTCAACTTTCTTTCTGGGCTTATTTTCTCTTAGTGTCACATGCTGTATATAGCCTGGGTAGAGGTGTTGGTCAACCTGTCCTGTTTATCTTCTGGCTGGCCTTCTAACACTCTACGGCTTATAGAATTACTTTATATGACCTGACTTTTATTTTCCCTGACAGAGATCATGGAGTCATGGAATACTAATTGCTAGTGATCAACATCAGCTCAGAATTGCTGTGCATTCTCTAATAACAGTTTTTTATGTTCATGTCATGATTTTTAGAAGTAACAATGCCCTTTCCCACCACATTCTCATTTGATCCCTACATTGATTTTGAGGTAGAAGACAGGGAATTATTATGCCCATTTTATAAAGCAGAACATTCAAAATCCAACTGACCCATTCAAGATTACATAATAAATAGAAAAGGCATAATTAAAGGCAGAAATTATAATTCATGATGCATTAGTTCACATTGTCTATTTCCATTTTACAGGATGGGAAATGGGAGTTCAGAAAAGTGAAGTAATTTCCTCAAAGCCATATGGCTAGCAATTTGAGCTTCAGAAACAGCCCTCTGCACTTGCCCCTTCTTTTCTTATGATCTCCTGTGGTTTTTCCATTGCCCTACACAGCATTCAATGGAAAACACCTCTTTTCCTGTTGACTAAATTCCTGCCCCCCTCTCACACCATGTTTGTCTCCATGGAGTGGTGACTCCATTTCCACTTTTGCTAAGATTTCAAACACATGCACCCAAGGAGTGTTGGCATTTAAATGGGCATTTTTCTCCTAGACCATCATCACTCTCACCATTGTGTCTACAGTGATTCCAAGATTACAAGTGGAACCAGAAAATTTGATTTTATGGACCCTGAGTTTAGGGTCCTGGAGTTCTTCAGGCTCACTAAAGCAGGGGCAAAGACTAGTCTTCCTGAGTTCTTATGCCCAGTCCATCTCTTATCTTAGAGAATAATACCTTTTTTAAAAAATAGTTTTTACATTTGTAGTGAAGGCAATCCACATCAAGAAGATATTAAATAAGAATTTCTTTAGAGAAGAAAGTTTAACTTTTATTATAACGTCTTCATTTCCCAAAAGTAGTACTTTTCTCACTTAGAGACCTGCCCATACTACCTAGCTATTTCTTAGCTGTTTCCAGTGCAGAGGTTTGCATCAGTAGCAACTGGACAGAAACTCACAGCCACATGTCTGGCCAGCCATGCACTTTTAATGCACATACTCAATCCTTGGCTTCAAGATGAAAACTGGGTTGTGTCTGTTAGAATTAAACTGATCACTTCTGGTATGTCCAATCCTTCTGCTAAGACTGCAGTACCTTTTAACTCCTTAGTTTTGATTTCTTGACCCTTCCCAAGAATCATTCTCTATGTATGCTCTAGCAGGGTAGATGCATGCTCTAAATTTTAATAGCAGAATCTAATCAAACAAAAGACAATTCTTTAACACCAAGGTTCTCCAATTTAAAATCTAAGAACTGGTTTTAAACTATAAGGAGAAATTTGGGGCAAAGAACTAATTGGGCCTCCTTGGTCAACATGTTGTCCAAAAGAGCTAGAGAATCTCTGTGGAGCAATGTACAGCTTACAGAAAGATCCTACCTAATTGCTCCCTCTCCCACCATCCTGGGATTCTGACCAATGGTTCATTAACTTCCATACTCTCCCTTCCTGTGTACATGCTGGTCTTACAGCAATGCTTTCCGTATTTTAAAGGAAGTGGTGGAAAGGAATGGGATTCATTTAAAAATAAAGATACCTGTAGCACTATTTTAGGAAAGTGAAATGAAGGGAGGCAGTGGCCTGGTTTCACCCACTCCTCTCCTCACTCTGGCTCGGGGATATCTCACCCCCTTCATCACTGACAGCTTCCTGGTGAGTCAGCCAAAAGGGGCCAACACCTTTGATCTCCTGAAAAGCTCATTGTATTGCTGACCCAAAGTAGACTGATTCAATCACACTGAGAGTTGAACTGGTTCAGATTGGGGTTTTGTAACCAACTGTGTATAAGGCAGTTCATCCTGATGGTTAAGAGCACAGACTCTGGGGTCAGGCAGCTTGGTATTAATCCCAGTCCACTTTAGGTGACTTTGGGAGAGTTTTTGCTTCAATTTTCTCATTTATGAAACTGGGACTTAGAGGATTAAATAAGTTGTTATATGTAGAAACCTGAAAACAGTGACAAATAATAGGCACTCCAAAGAAGGCACTACTACTATGTAGTCAAAGTGACTAGTATAGTACATGGTATATTTGTTGTCTATCCTATCTGATAAAAGAGTAATATGCAAATTGACTATCACTCCAAGACACAAGATGGCCACTCCCATGTGGTCAAAAATGGATGCTCCCATGTGGACACAAAATGGCCACCACAAGATGGCTACCTGCAGAGGAGGGCAGTTGGGGGAGACCAGGTCTGCAGGGGAGGACAGTTGTCGGGGGAACTTTGGCCTGCAGGGGACCAGGCCTGTAGGGAAGGCAGTTGGAGGTAACCAGGCCTGCAGGAGAGGACAGTTAGGAGTGAACAAACTGGCAGGGGAGGGCAGTTAGGGGTGACCAGGCTGACAGGGAAGGGCAGTTAGGGGCAATTGGGCCAGCCAATGAGCAGTTAGGCATCGATCAGGCTGGCAGGGGAGTGGTCAGGGGGATCAGTCTGGCAGGCAAAAGCGGTTAGAGGCAATCAGATAGAGGCAGGGAAGCAGTTGTGAGCCAACAGTTCTGGATTGTGAGAGGGATGTCCCACTGCCCTCAAGGGGTCCCAGATTAGAAAGGGTACAGATTTGGCTGAGGAACACCCCCCAAGCACAAATTTTTTGCACTGGGCCTCTAGTTGATACATAATAGATTATCCCAAAACTTGGCAGCCTAATCCAGTAAAAATTTATTACACAATTCCTGTGGGACAGCAGTTTGGAAGTTGCTAGACTAAGATCAGTTATAGTCACTGATCAGGGAGGCAATGTCATCTGAAGGTATGACTGGGGCTGGAGGATCTGCTTCCAAGATGGTTCAATCACAAGACTGGCAAATCAGTGCTGGCTGTTAATAAGGCCTCAGTCCCTTTCCCTGTGAATCTCTCTAATGTTGGGCTTGTTTTCCCCAGAGTGAGTAATAGAAGAGAGAGAAAGGGAGAAACTATGATGTCTTTTATGACAACATTGGAAGTCACACTTGATCATTTCTGCAATATGCCATTAGTTACTCCACTCAGCCTTACACAGTGTAGGGGAAAGGGATCAGCACAGTTGCATGAGAACCAAAGGGTAAATCTTACTTACAGGCATCTTAAAGGCTAGTTACCATTTGTATTATGGATTTACAACTCTCATTTATGTTGTAGTTTGCCTAGTCCCTGGGTGGCCAGTAATTGTTTTTTTCTTTCTCCCTCTCTCTTTCATTCTACTATAACACATTTCAATTTGCCAGACTGTGATTGGTCTATTTAATAGCATGGTTCAGATTCATCTTCTCCTGATTATGGACAAGGCCTCCCCAGAGTATGAAGAAAGCATGCACAGATACCACAAGGCTGCTAGGCTCTTCCAAGGGAAGGTAAGTCTGCACTGGGGGATACCCTTTTGAAAACTCAACGCCAGGACAGTTAGAAAAAGACAGATGTGGTTAGGGAAGTGAGATAAATAAGGAAAACTAGTATGGTTAAGAGATTAAATAATAACTGGGACATAATAAATCACATTACTCTGATTTAAAACCTGTATAATATACTATTCAAAACCTGTATAATTATATCTTCCATTAGTGCTAGTCTATTGCTTTTTTTTTCTACATTGAGAAGTAAAAATAAAAATCATGTATTTATTACAATATTTTTCTCCTTGCCATAATCCCTTACATTTTTAGACCTCAGGGTTTATTTCTCATATCAAATACCTATCATATACTTGGTGTCTAATGAATGTCCAGTACTTGATGGATAATAAATATTTTTTTTTCCTTCCCTACTCTGTGCAATTCTATTTAATATCACTTAAAAGTAAAACTTCAACCCCTTCAAAGTTACTATATTGAACTACATCATCTGTTCAATGATAAGAGCTGTCTGATGATTAAATAAGCTGACCTGCTGGTGGTTGTTTCTGTAAGACTTTAAGTTTTCAAAGTTATTTAATACTAGGGGCCTAGTGCATAAAATTTGTGCACTGGAGAAGAGGTCCCTCAGTTCAGCCTGCCCTCTCACAGGGAGCCCTCAGGGGATGTCCTACTGATGCCCAGTCCTCTGTGGGAGGCAACCAGGCTGATCAGGAAAAGGCACCAGCCCCATCACCCTCCTGTTGCAGCCACTGCCAGCCATCAGCAGCCGCCAAGGTGTTTTCATCAACATGTAGTGGAAATGCTAAATGCATCCTCTCATTTAATCTCCTCCAACAAACGCCCATTTTGCCCATGAGAGCACTGAGTCTCAGAGAGGCCGAGTCCTGTGCTCTGAGTCACACAGCTAAAAAGTACCAGAAGCAAAATTTAAAATTTATTCTCCACTTTTAAACTTTAGGTTCTACTTAGTTAATCATCACTAAAGTTAACCACTGAAGTATCTTCAAAGGCTGTGTTCTTAAAATTGAATCAAAGGGGTAAAATACCTAAGCAATGCAAAGCCAGAACAAAGCCATACTGATTCAATTGAGATGTAAATTGTGGTGCACAAACCATAAATTCAATCAGAGTAAACTGCCACAATTACAAGGTATTTCTCCTCAGGACCTTAAATAGATCTTTCTCTTTAAAACTTCTTTAACTGCAGATACTTTTTATTCTGGTGGACAGTGGTGTGAAGGAAAATGGGAAGGTGATATCCTTTTTCAAACTAAATAAGTCTGAACTGCCAGCTTTGGCAATTTACCGGACTCTAGATGAGGAGTGGGATACATTGAAAGTGGCAGAAGTTTCAATAGAACGCGTGCAAAACTTTTGTGATGGATTCCTAAAAGGGAAAAGGCTGGTAAGTGACAGACTACCTGGAAGGCAAGTTGAATTTTCTTCCTTTCTATGTCTCTATTATTCCTATTGAATAAAAACTCTTTGGGCTCCACTGAATTTGATTAAGAGCAGAGGTATATGAGGACACAGTAGACAGTGTTCGGATACTTTTTAGGAGATAGTCATGGAGATAGAACTACAAAAGCATTTTTGGAAAAGGTCTTGCCTATTCAAAAGAGCCGAATTCTGGATTTCACCATTCTGTGTACAATATCAATAGTAAACAAATTTCATTCAGAGAGTTCATAAGAGAAAAATTGCAAGTAGATTTAGAAGTTCTGGGGGTGGTCTACAAATCTAAATATCGTGTCTTGGCATTTTTCAGAGTGAAAGTCACGACTCAGAAGAAAAGACTCAAAAGGTGGAACTCTGATTTCTCCCCAATACTTCTGCATACCACCAAGCATCTGCTTCATGCTGAATGAAGAGGGGCAACTCAAACCTCAGGGACACTAAACAATAAAATCACCACCACCACCACCACACACACACACAGCTCCATTTTGTTCCTCAAAACCTCATTTATTCTCCATGTCCTTTCTTTTAATTTGCCTATATTCTCTCTCACTACCCATACAATTTTCTCTTATTCATTCATACCATGTAGGCCCAGACGCTGTAGTACCACTATGACACCACTGGGTGGAGGCCGTAAGAGAAATGCATACTGTGGTACCAGCATGAAGAGACATGGCTCAAAGGAAATTGTCCTGATTTGTCGTTTAATATTGAATTTGGACACTGCACATGACTTACACACAGCATAGTTTCTTCTCTATAACGGTTACTTAAGGGTTGAAACTCTACTTTCCTCGTAAGTGCCTGTCCCCCTCTCTAACACTGGGCCCACGAACAAAAGGGTTTTACACACCTTTGAGGAACTGTCTTTTTGCCAGAAGTCAAATGATGTTCCCCAGGTTCTGAACTCAGCAGAAACAGACCATGTAAAACTCTTTGCTTGTTTTGTGTTCCCACTTCCCCATGTAAATCAACAACTGCATAATAAATAAAAGGCAATAATGTTATAGGAAAAGACTGGCATCTCTTTGCAAACCTTTTGTAAATACCCAGCTGCCCAACTAAGTAGTAGGTACCTCACCCTTCGGTGCCTACTGTTTAGTGTCAGGCTATGAGCCACTCCGTGGGTGGGATAGGAGGTAAGTAGAGACCATCCTGCATGAGGATTAGTATAAATGTGGCCAAATTGCTCAAATCAGGTAACAGGTTGGGGAAGGGGTGCGGGGAGAAGGGGGGCACTTGGCCCTGGGGCAGGTTAGTGCTGACTAAGCACGGATTATTGCAGGTGAGGTGTGCAATCCAGCCATGTGGGAGGGAGAGTTTGGCCAAGTGTCTCTGGCTCACAGGCTGTTACTGTCAACACACAGATGCTCCATTGTTCCCAGGAGGCCCTTGGCTCAGAAGGAGAGCACCTAAGTGCTCAAGGGCTGAAAACCACAGAACACTCCTAAGGACTGGTCCAAGGGAGGAACGGAGAGTGAAAGACTTGGTTGTTCCTTCAGACTCTGAGCTGGGAGTCAGCAGCTGGCAAGGACACTGTGAAGGCAGCTGTGTTTGACACGCCTCTCAGCAACATGAGACCTGTGGAGTCTGAGCAGGCCATCCAGTCTATCCACAGGCCTACAGAAAACCACCCAAACAGTCTCTTGCTTGAGGCTGAAAAAATACTCCAAGGACAGGCACATCCCAGAAGCCTCCCTTTGATCCTGAAAACCAGAGCTCTTGACATTTACAGTCAGCAACTCTTCCTGATATCCAGCTGAGGTCCCCCAGGCTCACAAGCGTGTTTCTTCTTAGCCACGCTCTGTGGAAATTCTTAACAGCTGCCAATCGCCATCTTCAAATAGCAACTTCGACCTCTTGCTGGTTGCTCTTCAGCCCCCTTATCCAGTTCTCTTTTCTCCTCATTCACAATCCATCTCTTTCAGCGAGATTTTTTAAAGTTCTAAATCATTTGACTCACTTGATTATTTCTCTCCTTCCCTTTCCTCTTTCTTGTTTAAAACGGTGAAATGCCAAACTGTTAACAAATAAATTTTCACAAACTCTATTTTATTCAATATTGGGATTCATTTTTCAATTGTTATACTTGAAGTCTTGCTCCCATTAACTTCTTAACACTGACTACAAACGTAGGTTTTAACATCTTTTAAAAATATATATATATGTTTTTATTGATGTCAGAGAGGAAGGGAAAGAGAGAGAGAGGGAGAAACATCAATGATGAGAAACAATCATTGATAGGCTGCCTCCTGCAAGCTCCATACGTAAGACTGGGCTCCAAATGCAGGCATGTGCTCTGACCGGGAATGGAACTGTGACCTCCTGGTCCATAGGTCAATGCTCAACCACTGAGCCACGCCGGCTGGGCAGGTTTTAACATCTTTATGTGCATTTTGCTGCTTGATAACATTCAATAGCACTTTTATTTTATATTATCCTCTGTATGCTTATTTTTATTTTTATGGTAGTGAATTTAAGTATTTCTTTTCATTTTATGTTTTTCCGAAACTGCAAGGTGTTTTTTCCTGTCTTTTTTTCAGCCAGTCCTGTTCTTTGTATCTCTGGGGACTCGTAACCAAAGAATGGAACTTCTTCAGAAAGAAAATTTGAGAAGGCTCTAATTAATTCACTAAAGGTCAGACTTAGTATCATAAACTCCTATAATTTATAGATCATCTCTGTTTTTTTGGTATTATCCTCTTAAAACTCTACATTCATCTCCCCAGGACTGTATTATTATTATTGAAAGATTTAGATAAAGCTCAGCTATATTTTTTATTGTGGAATCATTTATTGGCCCAAGTTGGAAAGACTGCCATACTTTTCTCTCAAGTCTGAAGGAAACAGTGATATTATGCAAGAAAACATTGTAAAAGATATTGGAAGTTTTGGAAGATTATGATAGAGGAAGGAGTGGGAGCAGAGCCTGAGTCAGAGGACTGTTGGGAGAGTTTGAGTCTCACCTCGTCTGTGTATGTGGCTCTGTGACCTTGAGGAAAACATTTTGTATCTTTGAACTTCAGTCATTGAGAAGATTGCAATAATTCATAGGCTTTTTTGAGACCCCAGGGTGATAATGTATATTAAATAAAGTCTGTAATTATTTTTATGTTTTATTTAATACTATGCTGCCTTCTCTGAGGAAAAACCATTTCTCTAATTTCAGAATTTATGGAAAGGAGAGGCTTTCATCAGGCTCTTAAAAGAATCAGACCTCCCACTTGAGATTAGTGAAGTAGTTGAGATAAGCTTTTAAAATGTAGGTTTTCTTATTATTCAGGTATAGCGAGGCCAAGAGGTCAGGAGGAAAAATGCCATTGAAAAGACAGTCTATTGCCCTAACCGGTTTGACTCAGTAGATAGAGAGTCAGCCTGCAGACTAAAAGGTCCCAGGTTTGATTCCTGTCAAAGGCATGTACGTTGGTTGTGGGCACATCCCCAATAGGAGGTGTGCAGAAGGCAGCTGATCGATGTTTTCTCTCATCGATGTTTCCAACTATCCCTCTCTCTTACTCTCTGGAAAAAAAAAAATCAATAAAATATATTTTAAAAGAAAAAAAAAAGACTGTTTATTGCAGTTCCCAAGGGGGGTTGGGGGTATGGGACATGTGATGTCCCTCCACCCCCTTGGTTGGTCAGGAGACAAAGGGAGCAGAAAGAAAATATGGGTCTTTATCATAGTTTCTGTAGAAGGAAATAGGCAGGGTGGGGTGAGCAAGATTGGCTGGTTTGAGTCCTTTCATCAGGCTCTGAGTCCTGAGAGCTGCCCTGAGCTGGCTGGAACCTGGCCCTGGTAATTAGGACAGGTGGATGATGAACCAGTGTGCGAGCCCTGTGAGAGTAAAAGAAGTGGGTGGAATATGAGCTATGGATTGGTTGGTTTGCATTTGAAAGACACTCAGAAGCATGTCAAACTTGTAGCCAGTGGGCCGCATGCCTGCCGCTGCGAGTTTGACTTGCTTGCTCTAACAGGTGAGTTGTTTGCTCTCTCTAGGAATTGGCTAGCTCTGGGAGGAACAATCTCTCCAGCATCAGCAAGGTCCCAGATGTGAAGCATCAGAAGTGCATAGTTAATAGAATACTCTAGCAACCACCTGTCATGGGACTCCTCCCCCAACTCACCTAGTTTGGTCATGCTGGAAAGGAAGGTATGCTATTTTTAATCAGGCCCCTATTAGTAGTGTATATATATTAAGGTGACCAGACGTCCCACTTTTTGCAGGACAGTCTCGATTTTTAACAATTTGTCCCTCGTCCCGCGGTATTTAAAAAAAAAAAAAAAAAATCCCAAAGGTTTAAAAGATTCTTTCCAAAAATCGGGACTTTTTTTTAAAATGCCATGGGACGCGGGACAAATTGTTAAAAATCGGGACTGTCCTGCCAAAAGCAGGACATCTGGTCACCTTAAATATATACACAGGGGATGGTGGAGGTAAGAGGGATGCTAACTGGTATATGGAGAGAGCAGTTTATGTATTCGTTACACTCATTAATTCATTTAGATACTTACTAATCAACTATAAGAGTGCTAGACAAAATTGTCTCCCAAGAGAGCAAAGTAGGCCTTGGGTGATGAGCAGGGATATTATATTATAGAACAGGGACATTTCTGTTATAGTGACAGTAGGCAGCATGGGAGCCATCAGACTGGTTCTGAGTCATGAACGGAGAACAGCAGAACAGGGAAAGCTGGATATGAAGGAGAAGGGTGCTGAGGAGAGGGGTGGGCAGGAAGCTGGCAGTGGGCTGAAGAAGAGAAAGCTGGAAGAGTTGGGGAAGAGAAAACACAAAGAGTCTACCACAAAAGGCTAGAGGTTCATCATGAACAAACTTTATTTCACAATTGAGTTTGAAACTAGCCCTATTTATTTCACCTTTCTGAAAGTATGTGGTTTTCCAAACAGAAAAATAAAACAGGAAGTAAGGTGTATCTGGCTTATCCTCCTAGTTACAGTACTTTTACATGGAGAAACCTAGAGAGTTAGAAAAGGAGAAAGTTAAAAACTCCTTTTGAGTTTCAAACCTTTGAAGAAAATGTACTCTAGAAATCAAAGAAACATGAATTTTAAAAATCATAAAGGTTGTAAGGCTCCATAGCTCAGGGGTTAGAGCACTGGTCTTGTAAAAATCATAAAGGTTCACCCCCATTCAAACCATTTCTGTGGGAAACCAGTGTATTATTCTTTTCTTGTCATTCTGCAAGCAGAGATCATTATTTCTGTGGGTTTAACAATGGAATATCGAGTTATGCTAGGAAAGGAAGTAATAGAGAATGAAATGTTAAGGGATTAAGCTACTTGTATAGGTTATGAAAAGTTGTGTGGAATCCAGACTTTATTGTGCTATTGTCAA